GAGGTAGCATTTAGCCATGGCAACACCATAGGGGACGTCTGTGGTGGGGCGCATCATTAGGTGTCACTCACCAATATCAACGTGTGTCCAACCTTCATGAGCTTGGCCAGTGGTTCAATAAGTGCCACGGCACCTCGTCTCTTGACTTGGTCTATCCCTGATCTTGACTTTGGTCAACATCATCTTCATCACCCATGTACTCTTACTCTTCTATGTGTCCAATGTGAGCCGCCCATAGTCCCTCCTCGACCTTTTGGTCATTCGGTACAAACCTTCTCATCCGTCCTTCACCGCTTCTTAATTAATTACGCATGAACTTCTCTCTTGATCTTCTTCATTGTCTGTCAACCACCTACGTGCACCCAACACCTACACATTCACAAGCTAACAGACATGTTGCACAACACACTCAGTGACCCAAATCAGTAAACAAAGCCAATTAGTTAGGGGGCTAGGTGCTGAACCTAAGCTTCGGTGCCCCCGGGGGCCTGGCACCAAATAAATCCAGTGGCCTTCAAAACCCTCCAAAGCAACCACTCTCTCAAACATAATTTCAAATGCAGTGACTCCAATTGACTCCCAAGGGATTGCAACACATTTAGCACTTGAGTTAGTAGCATTTTCAAAAACGTTTTCCAAAGCTTTTTCACTTGCTTCCTTAGCACGTCACTAGGTCTAATACATATGCAAAGTTAGTTCAATCTAGTGACACTAGATAACCGTAATTGCTTTAGAGATATCTTAATAGTGCCACTATCTATCCTAAACTCGACCGTGCACCTTGGCTGGCGAAACAAAACCCCTATTGCATATATATTTGTCTTTAGGCTTGTTTCCATCTCAGTTTTCACTTCTTTTCCAATGTTGAGCACTTGCTTCATGTCATGATCATCATCTCCACCATCTCCTAGCCTTGCTCAACTCCTTCATGTGGACCTAGATCAATCATCTCTATTGAAAACATTAGTCCACTAATTGTCACCCTATTACCAAAATCAAACTAGGGCTTTCAATGGGCCGCCTAATTCAAATTTGGTCAGAATATCACAATTTTTTCAAATGAACCGTCCTTGTTGTGGTGCTCCTCTAGTTGCAGGTTTCTCGGTGGCCCACTGATAAATTATGTACTCCCTCTGTCCTAGTTTAAGTGCACGTTTGCACTTCAAAAAATTTCCCGAAATAATCGGTTCGCATAGGCCTGGCATAGCAGTGCAGCAGTAACCTCGAATCTTGGAACGTGGCAGAGGCGATTAAATAAAACATGAAACAGTCATTCCAACGCTTCCTGTCCACTCGTTCCCACTAGCCACAGAACGATTTGTCATTAAAAAATGAAAATGGACGCCCAGCCTTATCCCTCCGTCCCCGTGGACTCTGCGAACTGTTATCTTCCCAGCCTTATTCCGCATGGCCGTCGTTGCCGCCGCACCTGCTCATCTTCCTCCCTTGGTTTGCGCACCCAAATCTAGAGGTGCAAATATTACGGGACGGAGGGAGTACATGTTTAGTTTTTGGGCTCATTTTTTTTCCATAAGACCAGGCTAATCTACCTCTACCCTTATTTCTATACTACCTCAGCGAGCCACGTCATCAGCTTTTCCTGAACGTCCGATTCCGCATCAACGGCAGCAGATCAGCATCTCCGGAACCTTCCACGCCCTTCCCGGCCCTGCAGCCCCCCACGCTTAGGCAGACCCGACCCCCCTCCGCTTCTCCTTCGCTCTCTCCCTCGGCCTCCACCGGGCCACCGGCCTCCCGGCGCCACTCCCCGCCGAGGGCACGCTGCCCGGCGCCATCCGCTCCTCCTGCGCCTCCCGTCGACGCTGCGACGCTGCAGGCGCCACCGGGCCGCCGCTCCACCCTCGCCGGCTCAGATTCGCGCCATCCTCCTCTTCTCCCGGCGTCGTGCGTTCCACCCTTCCCTCTTCTCGGCGCAGGCAACCCGACGCTGTGTCACGCCAGCACGGGAGCGTCGCTGCGGCCAAACCCTAGCGGCGCAGCCCTGGTGCCGGTGTGCGCGAGGCCTCCGGCCACAGCAGATCCAGCTAACGGCGTTCCTCCCTTCCTTGGACCTCCATGTCCACGCCCTCAGCTCGCCCTCACCTCCTGCTCCTCGCCCGCATCATCGATGCCAGTCCCCCAGGCACGCTGCTTCCTCCATCTCCATCCGTGCTGTGTTGAGGGCTTGAGGCCCATCGTCATGCCCTCTGCATCCATCATCATCACGTTCAGTGTACGACGCGATTTTCGAGTAAGTTCGGATGTTGACTTGCCTTGGATGTTCCTACTTCATGATAGTTGTCGGTGATTTGCCTCTACAACATTTTTTGTTACTAACCAAATAACCGTGCCCAGGTTTCTGCAGGAACAAGGATGGAGATGGACATATCTACAGTTGAACTTTTCTGTGTTCTTCGCTATATTGATCAACAAAAGAATGGTACTGTATCTGGCTTCGATCAAAAGATGACACAGGCGTATATTGAGATAAGTGGCAAATTAAAAAAAATAAACATGGTAAACGAGATTTACATAAGAAGATAGCTGAAGTAGTCAGTAAAAGACTTCGATATCTACTCAATGGAGCACTTATTCATGCAGGTAACAGCTATGTACTGATCTGAAATTTTGTTCGATTAATGCCTCTTTGCATCCATTCTAAATTTGTAATGTTGCTTTCAGTTCTTATCTTTCTAACATTGGTGATTCCTTTACCATTGTCGCTACTGCAATCGATCCTCCAGAATTATACAGGTCAAGCCTTGCAAAAAAGTCAAGTTCCCAATTTGCTTTAGCCATGGCAATCAAGAAGGTTGCAAAGTCAGCTTCAGAAACAGCAGTTTCAATTGATCAATTTTCTCGGTTCATTCAAATGAGAGGGTTATTCCAGAAGCTCGGTGGTTAGCACTAAATGGCAAAACCAGCGCAGGTATTGATCTGTTGTTACTCCTGTCAGTGTGCAGCTAATATCTCTGTAATAAATTGCCTGATAGTGATCATGTCCTTTGTAAGCTGCTGCAACTTAACTTTTTTTTAATTAATTGCAGCTGACTGATGGGGTTCTTCATGGAGGACGGTGTCCTGAATATTGTCGACCTATTACATCTGTTGCAAAAGGTTTTAATGAATTCATGTTCCTTCCCAGATATTTTTCGTTTTACATGTTATATATAAACTATGATGTTCTTTTGGGTTCCTGTACCTAGGATCAACTGCCTACTACGAATGCATACTGGCGCAGGCTCAGTACCTTCTTGGATGCCAGATTCTGCTACAAGTTCCTGTCCACCAAATAAAGATACCTGAAACTTGCCTGTTTAAGACCATTCCCCTATGAGAAATGCAGTCCTGATGGTTGCACTTTGCTACAGGCCAGATGCGTTCACAGGTTTGTAAATGAAGGTGCTAAAAACACATCTGACCTTCGTATTATGTTATCCTGCTGTATATGAAATAGTACCATGCTTGATTATGCCACTTTTGTGGGTTCCAATGTGTTTAGAACAAAGATTATGGACAGCTATGCATGCTCTAGCTCTACCTGTTGGATCAGGTTTAGGTGGTTTATCTTACCGATTTACTTTCGACAGATTTTGTCTGTCAGAGATTATGGACAGCTATGTATGCTCCATCTCTACCTGTGGGATCGGGTTTAATTAGTTTAGGTTACCGATTTACTTCCGAGAGAGTTTGCCCGTGACAAATCCATCTATTCTACAGAATGCTTGAAAATTTTAAAAACTATTCCATGTCCACTGTTTATATTAGTACATAATACAATTTTTAGTGATCCAATTACAATACGTACTTTCATATCACCATCTTCGTTTCTGCCGACAACTATATTTCATTGCACATATATATGTATCAGATTATGCTTTCTTCCTTTCTGTGTACATGCCATGGTGCATACCTCCCTTTGTGCTTTGTAGCCAACACTAACTCCTGTTGCATTGCATTCATGCTACATCTTGCATGCTCAGTACAATACAATTATTATTATATACCTTTGTTCAATGGAGATCCAATCAAATAAGGACTCCCCTGTAATTGACCTGCAAGTAGTCAGGAGAATGTATTTACTTTAGGATTGCCAAATATTTGTTCTCATGTCCAAGGTCTTTTGTTTTGTCAGCGTACTTTCTGCCAGTCAGTTCAGGTAACCAGCAGCCAGTACACAAGATGGCCTTCCAGCTGAGTAACAATGCTTACATATGTTTCTTCAGTACGATAAACACTACAGAAAGCAATTTTAGGGTACAGAGATGTGACAAAAGTCCATTAATTTCTACCCTGTTTGTCTCTCATCATGCAGAGCACAAGCCTACCTATGTGTAAGGAATCAAATCTGCATTGATGCCTCATATCTACGTTCTGCAGATGCTTCTATGCTGTGGCGACCTCCAAGCTGACAGATTCCGAGGAAAATCATGTTCAAGTTCTAGGCGAATTTTCTCTCTATAGAGCTGATACATTTCCTGTTATTGTGCACATGAGCAAAATCAGCTTTTGCCTTTTTTTTTCTAGGTGGCTTCAGTTTCTCAGATGTTTTGCGTGGAATATGTTACAGACAACTAAACAAAGGCAACAATTCAAGACAGAACCAGAACCCCCATTAGGAACAATCGCCTTGTATTTTATTACGTGATTTAATCCCCAGGCACCGGTACTCAAGAATTTCAATATATATAATTATTCTACTGTTTTTAATCAGCACACTCTAGCTCGTGCAACTGCGCAGGGGTTTCTGCTAGTTCTATTATAAACTGAGTGCTGTTTGCGCCAACCCTTTTGAGGAAAAAAGATGGAAGAGAATTTCCATACGAAACTGAGTGAAAGGTGCACTTTATTCCACATAGAGTACATCATACATAAACCACACATTTATTTGAAATCAACCACTCTCCATTGAACGTCAACATTATTGGTGTGATTAGAACACATATCCAACAATGTTCTAAGTGTAATTAGGTAACACTAGAAGCAATGGAGAGTTTCCTTCATTTTTCTATAGCCATATGAAAAAGGTGAGGAAGACGGCAAGGGCATCCCTCAACATCTTGTAGAAGCCCCATCTTCTCGTAGCTTTCAACACTATCCACTAATGTTTCCTCTAGTGTCTTGCTTGGTTTCCAGCCCAAATTCTTCAGTTTCTCCGACATAAGTGGCGTAACTATAGAGTTAGGAACCAGATCATTGCTGCTGCAGCAAAGAGATGTAAACCATGTAAAATAAGAGCTATCCATTAAAATTCTACCCATACACGTGTGGTAAGAGATTCACCAGTTTACATAATTGTAGTTAGGATGAGCCTTCTTCAGCATGTTCACCAGATCTATTGCACTGGTGCAATTTGGCGCGCAGATGTATCTCCTTGCTGATTTCTCTTTCTCGTATACTAGAAGCAAAGCATCAGCCACATCGCGGACATCAACTATGTGCCACGGAATGTTCTTCATCACAGTAGGACCTCCTTTAACCAAGGTAATGGAGTTTCAGGGTGTTGTACTTTCCCATACTTTAAAGAGCATGAAGCATAGTGTAGTGCAACTCAGTGTATAGAGCAATTAAAAAAAAAACGGATTGCGAGTAACATTAGGGTTATTACGCTACTACATAGGGATAAATGCTGTGGATATTTATTTATGTTCCGCTAAAAAAATACAGTATTTAGCTATGTCAAGATTCAATGCTGGAACCATGAGAGACAAAATTCGGATGCCAACCCCCACATGTTTGCAAGTAGCAAGTTACAAATCACACATTTTCCACATGAATATGCGTGTATGCATGCATTTTTTAGATTCGAACCCACAATTCTTGCCCTCATTTGGTCACTCTTTATTACCATCCCACGTATACTTTGTTACCGATTAAAATAGGAGTTTCTTTTTTCTTTTGACCCTTGCTGGCTAAAATTTAGGATGATTATTTTGTCATCTCGATAACTTAAAATTAAGATAAGAAGTTACATCGATAGCTATAAAATTAATATAAGCCTTTCATTGTTTAAGTATGAATATTTTATGAAAAATTTAATATCTCGCTATGAACTATTGTATACGAAAGGACACATGAGCATGCAATGATTTTTTTATAGGTTTGGGCCCGCCTAGGGATGGCTTGTATTGTGGTCCACTCTCTAACAATTGTGAGAGCAATACATCTATAACTAAGAGCCTGATTGGCACAGCTCATAACAGCTCATGAGTTGTTTGAGCTGTTTTTTTTCAAACACTTATTTTCAAAACAGCTTCATGGGTGAAGCTGTTTTTCTCCTCTTTTCAAAAAGACATGAGTTGGGATGAAGCTGAAAAAAGTAGCTTATCTCAGTTCTCTCGCTCATTTCTCTCTCTCATCCATGCACGAAGCTGTTGGTGAAGCTGTTTTGTCGAACAATTTTTCCAAAATAGCTCAACTTCACTTAGAAAGTTGCTCATGAAGCTGTTTTAAAAAAACAGTTTTACTAGCGAAGCTGAGCTCTGCCAAACGAAGCAACCCTAAGAGCTTCTATGTTCCAAGAGGAATCACGTGTTACATTTAATAGGACGCAATGAACCACCTTGCGCTGCCTTAGTTGGGTATGGACTCTTACTCTGTATCCGGCTAATCACAATAATTTCTTCTTCAACTGTGTATGTATGATTTTCTTTTGTAGATTGAGTTTGCACCTTCACTTTTGCTACAATGTACATCTACAGATGCACTATGGATGTACACCATTTCAAAAAATTTGGAAATTTCTAAGTACATGCATTCTTCAAGGGGCTTTCACGATTGCACCGAAGGGGTGGTTTGCACCAAATATTTTGCCCTAGAATATTGATGTGTTTAGGGCTCTACTCGGTCCATAACTTAAACGATTAAACTAACACTATCCAGTCTATTAAACTAGTATAAAGTAATCCTAGCTTAAAAAAAACTCCAACCAAATAAAGTTGGTTGTTGCTGAATGCAATTAATTTTCCTAATAAATAACAAGAAAATTTAGTATCTGTGATAATCCTAATAACAAGAAATAGCAGAAAATAACAACAAATATGATGCAACCTTTAATAATGTATAGGAGGAATTCATGGCTGACATTGACCATAGGCTGCAGGAGCGGTCCTAAAGCCATCGTAGGGCAAACTGTAACAACATTTAGTCCATTTTTCTCTGCATATTCCAGGGCTGTCTTTTCAGCAATAACCTTGGCAACCATATACCAGTCCTGCGAGAAAAACCAGGTTAGTCCTAACTAAATCCACCCTAAGCAACAATAATTAACAATAAGAATATGTAATGATAAACATAAATTTGTTATTCTTGTGCCAACATGCACTCTGTGGATGGACAATTTCTTTAGGGGCCGTTTGGATTCTTTCATTTGGAGGAATTAAAATCTACTTAATAAATTAGGCTATTTAGCTTGAAATTTGACATTCCACCACTTTCCAAAGTTCACATATAAGCCTCTCTCAAATTTATAGGGTGGGAGGTGTAAATTGATTATATAGATCACCATTCTGTTTTTCTACTTTGTAACTTATAACACGCTCTTCAACTCGCTCTTCAACGGTAGAAATGCAATACAGAAGTATCTCTCTCGTATAACCAACAATAATATACAAATACAATTCATATACAACCATATTAGCTTAATTATGTGTATCTAAATTAAGATTATTAAAACGAATTCAATTCCAAGGATCAAAAAGGGGTCTTAGTGTAACCGTGAAGAACATAGAACTTTGACTCGATCCAACAGAGATATCAGTGCGTCTTGTTCAGGACCCAAGTTATGGTCAAAACGAGAGTAACCAAAGTGATAAACGACTAAACCTAGTATATTTACCTGGCTTTGCCCATTATGTGAGTCGTGTGGAGCTATTCTAGTTTGTGCTTATTCATCATTCTACCCGAGCCCACCACCCAAGCAGAGGGATTATATTATTATTATGGGCTCAAGCTTCCCAACCCACCACCCAAGCCCAGCCCACCCTCTACATGCTAGAACACAATGGAGACTTGGAGAGGAAGGACAGGGTAGAGAGGAAGATAATTTAATTTAATTTAGTGGTAGAAGAGAAGAGGACAGAGGAAGGAGATGAACCCCTCCTTGCATCTGGCACTAGCACCAACCTCATTCTTTTTGCAAAAGTTTATGTCCGACCAGCACTCCTCATCTTTGGGTATGTGTTGAGGCCAATTTGGGTTGAAATGAACAGCGGCGGTGGACGAAACCACAATAACCTTCTGAACATTATTAGCTGAGCAAGCCTGAAGAATGTTTAAGGTACCTTGCACAGCAGGAGCCAATACTTCTGACTGCATGGTTTAAGGTAAAAAATTTATAAGAAATCTCCTACGTATAATTCAAACAAAAAAATTGCATCTTGGTATCAATGAGTAAGTGAAACTATGGCTGTGAGAAAACATAAAATCTGGATTGTACACTATTCTCAGTCTTACTATTGCTAACTGGAGACCCAAATAAGCCTACACATTAATCTTACGAGGCATGATAGGAAAACAAGATAACTCTTACAAATTCTCACAAAAGTTAGAAAGATTAGCCATTTCTTTGGCAAATTCTAATCATCGATAACAATAATAGCCACACAAGCTAGGTATGTTTTTTTTAAAAAAAAAACTTACCCATATATACCATTATTATATATAGTTCAAAACACCCCTAACCTTGAACTAAATTACCAACCACCACCATTATGTAAGATAATCTAAAATAACCCATAACCTTATCTAAATTGCCTATATATGTCATTATAAGAACAATATAAAGTATTCCCTAACTTTTTTTTAGCTAAATTATCCACATACGCTTTTATTATAATTAACTTAAAGTAACCGTGAATCTGAATTTCCTACGCATGTCATTATAAAAAAAATTCAAAATACCTATAAGATATACAATGCTTCTAAGTTACTTACTTCTATTATTCTTAATAAAGAAGCAACTAATTGAAGGTATATATGCATGTGTAGTATGTGTCACTGTACAGACCATATATACGCATATAAATGAATCAATCAGCACATTGACTTTCAAGCCGAATACTAAATCTAGGGATGGAAATAGCTAGGCCGAGTCGACTTATTGGATAGTTGACTCGACTAGTAAAAGTAAGGTCAATAGGCCATAAACATTGGCCTCAAAGTCTAAAATGAGCCAATAGGACTAGAACATATTGATCCAATGGGCAAAATGGATCTACCCAATCGTCACGTAACAAGTTTTTTTTTAATTTATTGGTTTTATTCAATTGATTTGAATAAGCATGATTGGTTATAACTTATAAGCACGTATATGCTTGGAAGTAGATCTAGAAATACCATATTTTGAAAGTATAGATAAAATTAAAACTATGGTTCACATGCAAATTTATTTATTTGATACATTGTTAATAGCCTTAATGTGTTATTACGATACTTTTTAGGCTATATTCACTACCGGACTCCTTTAGTTTGCCGAGTGTCCGAAACACTCGGCAAAATACATAAAACACTTGGCAAATTGTTCGCCGAGTGTAACACTCGGCGAATAGCACTCGCTATAAACAGTTCCGGCAAAGCCAACTTTGTCGAGTGCCATTTATCGGGCACTCGGCAAACATTTTGCCGTGTGCAGTTTGGCTCTCGGCGAAAAGAAACGGTCATAACGCCAGACCCGCCGTTAATAGTGACTTCGCCGAGTGTCAAACGACAAGGCACTCGGCAACTAATTTTTTTTAAAAATATTTTTGGTTTTTAGAATTCCTTGTCGCCGAGTGTTGCACTCGGCAAATGCTAAACATATGCCGAGTGTTGAACTGTCAGACACTCGGCAAACATTTTTCAAACAGTATTTGGTTTTTAAAAAAATATCTTTTCGCCGAGTGTTGTACTCGGCAAATGCTAAACATATGCCGAGTGTTGAACTGTCAGACACTCGGCAAACATTTTTCAAATAGTATTTGGTTTTTAAAAAAAAAATCTTTTCGCCGAGTGTCTTGGTGATAACACTCGGCAAATTGTGTTTGCTTTGCCGAGTGTCTTGGTCGTAACACTCGGCAAAGCCTCAGAAATCTGAATTTTTTTTGTTTTTGCATTACATTTCACAGCACATATATATATCACAGCACATATATATTACACAGCACATATATCACATATATATATTATCTCCACACACCACATATCACATACATCACAATAATCCACAATGGCACACAAATGTCATGCCACATTCGGCATGCATGGATTCATTCATGCTAGGATCGGAGTCATCCAGTGGTTTGTGGATCACATGTTTATGTTGGTGTAGGGAATCATCCGGTGACAGGTGAGTCGACTCCGTGAGCCAAATAAATCAAACATTTTTTTTGAGCAACAAATAAATCAAACATTGTGTTTAGGCTCGGACACAAGTTCTAATGGTTCCGCATGGGCCCACTCCCTAAACCAAACTTGTTGGCTAATCTTGTATCTTGTTTTTTTCTAAACGTGTTGATATCATTCATAGTCATAATGGTAGAAAAATATTTGGACTTACCCATACTAACCAATGGGTTAGAGAGACCATAGGTAGGTTTTTAAGCAAGATGGATCTACCTATGTCCCCTAAAATTGACCTTGAGGCCATGGGACAGGTAGATCCATTCCCATCCTAGCTGAATCCAAGGTTTCAAGTAAATACATGTAGAGCATATATATACGAAACTGCGATGCAAAGGTGAAAAATGTTAGTATAGATGTAAAAGTATATAAAGGAATCTGTAACTGCTGTGCAGCCGATCACAAAGCCAAATTATGCAATGAACCTCTCGCAAAAAAAAAAGTCAAACACCCTGTTCGCATGTTGGTTTCAGCCAGGCTTATTCAACCAGCCAACAGTGTTTTCCTCTAGAAAAAACCCAACACCAGTCAGCTCAAACCAGCACCAGCACCAACCAGCGAACACGTCGAAAGCAACGAACCAAGTGGTACTGGCACTTGCCTCCGGATCAAGAACCTTATCCGTGGGCACGGGACAGGCAAGATGGAAGACCCCCTGGCACCCGGAGACTGCGGCAGCCAGCGCGTTCTGGTCGAGCACATCGGCCTTGAACAGCCGGAGATTCTCCAAGGCCCCTTCCAGCCGCCCCAGGTGGGCGTTCTTGGGATCACCTGAAATATATCGTACATCGCTCGCGATTAGTCCTGCACTTCGGCCCGGAAAGGCAGCGGCGGCTGGTGTGTGCGGCGACTGACGGGGCGGGGTGCTTACGCGGGTCACGGACGGTGGCGTGCACGGTGTAGCCGCGGGAGAGGAGGAGCTTGACGAGCCACGAGGCGATGTACCCGCCGGCGCCCGTCACGCACACCACCGTCGTCTTCCCGCTCCAGCGAGCCCCCTCCATGCGTCCGGCCATCTTGCGTGTCTAGTGTCTAGGGCAAGGCGCCCCTGCACCGGTCCCTCTGCTGCTTAACACTTGCCGGCCTCGGTCTTCCGCTAGCTCGATCTGTGCCTGTGAGCACCGGCCACGTCCAGGCAGGCAGGAAGCCAGAGGCAGGTATATATACACACACACACAGCAGCAGCTCGGGGATGACTGAATGGTGGTGCAGCCGGAAAGGGCATATATGACTAATCAATTAGTCGTGCCACCAATTATAGTCATACCACCATTACACTACGCCATGTCCACCAACTAATCCCACTATAAATGGTTGATGAGATCAACAAATTTAGTGCCACCAGGCGCAAATAATAGATTAATGAATATTGCCAAAACAGGAGTGTTTGTGCTCCACGCAAGCGAGAACGAGTGAACGACTGCAGCGATAGAGGCTGATAGCGCCGTTCACGTGGATGGTGATAGGTGATGGGGTAGATTTTGTGATGACTCAGTAACCCATAATCCTATATTAATACCATTATTTTTCTTGAAAATAATAGAAATGTTTTGCCTCCGTGACTCTAAAAATCTATATTCTTACAATATTTTATACTTAATATATAGCCGATCACGTAAGGGAAAAGAGCACACAAATGAAAGAAAATAATGAGCAAAGTCTATGCGCCTGTTCGGACGACGCCTACGACTGCCGGGCCACACCTGCGGCTGCGCCAAATCTCTGGCGTTGAAAACGCTGGCCACAAATTTGGCATGGTGTGGCAGCAAATTTGAACTATGTTGGTGTGGTTTTGTTGCGGTATGCCACATGCCTTAACTCTGTCACCAGCCAAATGCTAGCCAGAGTTCACAACATTTATGGCGCGGTAGCCTGCGGCACACCTAAGCGCAAACCGAACACACCCTATGGCTTCTCTGTCCAGTCTTGATAAAAATGTCTAGAGCGATAACCTTCAAAGTTGTACTCACCAGGCTGACAATATCCCTTGTATTCTCACATTGAAGCAACATCCGCAACTGTAGGCAATATATTCTTCTTAAGGTAACCCGCATAAAAGAAGTGAAATGTTTTTTTTTCTAGAGAAACAAAGATCGTTACAGGTCCGTCCAGCATACAAATATTAATCTTCACTAATATAATTAGTCACGGATTATCCATTTTGGTACGCAGATTATATAATCTTATTTATGGATCATGATTTGAAGCATGCTAAGAATATAAAATTATTGCTCAGTGTTTTCTTTGAATAACTATCAAGTCTAAAGATTAATTTCAACAAGAATGGAATTTCTGTTATGGTCATGTTAAGCATTATGAGCATGAGTACACCCAACTCTTTGGTTGTGAAACTGGGTCATATCATTTCCGGTCCTTAGGAATTCTTATGCATAAACTTGACTGAATGTTACGTATATATGCATGTTTACTTATGTATGATCATGTCCTAGTCAAGTCTCCTAGATGCACCAACTTGTAGTCTTTATTTTTTGTTGTTCATAACCATGTCTTCAAGTGTTGTTTTTTTAATTTTTAGACCGTAGTACGTGGTTAGCTTGCTTAGTCCGATAGAAGTCGAGCATATGTGATGAGTTTCTCATTCTTCATGCAAATTAGGAGTTGATTACTTTAGCTAATAAACAACTAGGACGGGAAATGGCTAAAAAGATGACTAAGAGAATGAGTGTGATCAGAGGCTTGGCGAGGAGTAGGGTCATGGCAAGCCTAGGCCACGAATGGCATAACTCGCTTCAGCTGACTAAGGACCATTGCATATGTCGTAGTGAGCCTTAAACACCTTTCGTATAGACCCCACGTTATATATGGGATTGGTAAGCCGAGTATCATATTTAGCAGGGTCATCATGTGGATTCGATGCCATTTTGGGCAAGGAGTAACTAGAAATCTAGTACTCTCGCACATCTTGCCCGTTTATTGGACGGTTTAGCCAACGATGAGAAAGGATGTGGTGATGAGTTATCCTTATTTATCGACGAGACGTATGGACGGTGGCCTCGTTCACTTGCTCAAAAAAGTTGTGCACCCCTTGCAATTAAAATGACATCAGGGGCGGAGCCAGGATTTGAAGATAGGGGCAATGGACAACAAATAAGATAGAACCAATAAACCATAGTACCATACTAGGTTTTAGTCACGTATATAATAGTAATATATATTTTTCACAATCTCAATAAAAAAAATTACGTATCTATTATCTTAAAATTTAGCTCTGTGACTACAATCTCAGCTGCCTTAAAAACCTACCAATGGTGTTTCTCTTCTTCATATTATCTAAAACTAGATACAAACGGAAATTCAGAGTGAATTTCTGATTATTGATTAGATAAGAGAATACCACTAGGCACTAGATGGCTAGGGTAAGGGATTACCTGAAGTGCCGATGAGCTAACAGATGGCATCACTGCAGTCGGCAGGCACAGCAACGGTGTCAATTTGGCCGGCGGTGCCGGTGCGCCGCGGCGGTGTCGCAGCACAAGCGTTTTGCGTGGTCGTGTTCCAATCCCAGTATCCCACGGCGTTTCGTCGAGCTTTCCCTATTCCTAACTCTCTGTCCGCTAGAACGACGAGAAGGGGAAGACGAACAGTCACAGACGCGGCCAGGCCCTCAAGTAGGCGACGCCGCTTCATATTCTCGTGAGGTGAAGCTGAGCCACCGAATAGGCCTAGATGGGCTATTTTTTACTGGGCCTCAAATGCACTTACGGTTTGGACTGAATTAGGAGGACCTAAACAGCCACTAAGTATATAGATTAACTATGTATATCAGAGGGATTAGTACAGCACTGGGGTGTGTTAGAGGCTAAGCCTCCAATAATTCGGTAATCTTTGACATTAACTAATTATTAGAGGCTAAGCCTCCACATTAATCTTGAGGTGTGTTAGAGAAATAAAATAAACATTCTCAAAAAAGTATTAATCACTGCATTCTAATCGACATACTTTAATCAATGGACAAGATGTTCCGATGGAAGACAAACCAGTATGCAATGATGCGTATTGCAAGTGCCCGTGCCATGGAAACATGGCACCTCCTCCACCTCCTCCGCTTCCTCATCCGTACGGTGGTGGATGGTACTATGGACAAGATTCTTCGCAGCATTCCTCGCAGCAATATGTGTGTAGCACTTATTTCGTGGAACGTTGTACCAATTACATTGAATGGTCCAATCTCTAAAGTTAGGGTCTAGGAATCTTTTACAATACACCTCTAAAAAGTCTACATAGAGTGATTTATTGCTCCACTGGAATCCTAAAAGGCAGCAAGATTCACATGTCGTCCTCTTCATAAACTATATGCCCACTGCACCAGATAACCTTGCTACATAAAGGCCTCATATGTCTTCCATACCACATCTCCTCCTCAAGCCATCAAACTGGTACTGCACAACCATGTCTTCCTGGAAGTGTGACCCATTCAGAGTGTCGGATTGGCATGAGCGGCTGAAGTGCCATTGTGGCTTTAGGACAATCTTGTGCATTTGGACGAATCGACTTCCACGAGACAAGTACAAAGTGTAGGTACTTCACATGTCTAGATCTGGATGACGACTTCATGGTGACGACGATAATGAAATCCTTTGTTTCTCATTATTGTTTCTCAACCTGATTCCATGACATCTAGATCTACACACGTAGTCTTGCAAAGTTCATCGAATGGGTGGATCAGGTGCCGCCGGCATGTGGCCACCCTCACGCCAATGGAGGTGGAAAACAAAGGACAATACTTTGTCAAGATGACTCAAGGCTCGCGAGGTGGAACGACAGATGCAGGTTGAGCAAGAGTGGCGATTGAGGGTGGATCAAATCCATCTGAAGGGCAAGGAGGATGAGCTTGCAAGGAGTTGGGAGCAGTTAAGTCTGCGTGAAGAAACCATCAAGCATTAGGAGGAAGAGCTTCAAGCTCGTGAGGCAACTCTCAAGAACAAGAGTGAACGGAAGAAAGATGTAGCGAAACCATCTTCAAGGAGTGAGAGAAAGGGGAAACAACCATGCTACGCTTGGTAAAAAAATGTAATAGACCCAGCAAGTTATATTCTTCTAAGGCATGTTAGGACTAGTGGTGGAATTCTGAACATTAGAAGTACAGAGTTCCACACATGCCATTGCAAGTCATTCTTTGTTTTAATTTCCCTAAGACATGTTAGGATTAGTGGTGGGAGTAGTTATCTTAGCTACATAGAGTTCCACACATGCCATTTATTATTGCAGGTTTGGTCCATGTAGCGCGTTGGGTTAATATTAGAATGTGTTTGTTCCTTCAAAAGGTTTTAGTGTTCCTTGAAGTTATGGTTGATCAGGTTATGTCCGGAAAAGGAGAGCAAAAGTGTTGCTTGAAAAGTGCTAAAGTTAGTTTTCTGTTGGTTGTGTCCGGAAAAGAGGAGCACATCGGGTGACAGTTGTGTCCGAAAAAGAAGAGCACATCGGGTGACAGTTGTGTCCGAAAAAGAAGAGCAACGGCATGAAATAGTGTAATCGGCTTATGGGCGGGCGATAGGCTTGTCGGCTGCGCAGGGGCCGGGTGACTGGCCTGTCGGCCGGTGCCGGTCAGGAGCCGACTGGGACTATCGGCAGTCCAGCTGTGCCGGTCAGGAGCCGACTGGGACTATCGGCAGTCCAGCTGCCGACAGGACTTGCATTGGCGCTATACTTGCTATTTTTGTATAATAGCTTCTAGATTTGCAATTGATTAATAAAAATATTACTTAAAAAAATCGAGACAAACAGGTCGTCCAAAGGCAGTTAAAGTAGATGTTATAATTGTATTACAGAGTTTGCTTCATTAGTCAGAAGCAAAATGAAAAAGACGAGGAAGACGGCGAGGACAACCCTCTACATCCTGCAAAAACCCTGCCTTCTCGAAGTACTCAACGCTGTCCAACAAAGTTTCCTCCATTTTCCTTGGTTTCCAGCCTAGACTCTTAAGTTTCTCTGACGTAACTGGCGAGACTTCGGATTCATAGTCCTTGTTGTCGCTGCAGCAGGGAGTTCCATATAGTGTAAATGTAAGGGATAAAAGCCAGAGTGCTAGACTTTAAGTCCGAACAACAGAGACATCGTAAGAGATTCACCAGTTCACATAATTGTAGTTGGGGTAGGACTTCTTCAACAAGTTCACTATGTCGTTTGTGCTGATCCGATCCGGTGCACAGATGTATCTCCCAGATGATTCCACTTTCTCATATACCAAAAGCAAAGCATCAGCTACGTCTCGGACATCAACTATGTTCCAGGGGAGGTTTTTCATCGCCCTAGGACCTCCTGTAATCAAGCAGATGAAATAAATAAGTGTGTCAAGAAAATTATTGCAACTGTGATTTTGAGACCAACAAATTAGAGAGGAAACTCAGAATCTGATTTTAGCATTGAAGTTATCAATGGAAAAATTGGTTCGAAAGATGGCGCTTGCAGCTTGGTATAACTTACAAGGCAAGGTGAATAGATGATGGTTAGGGCTCTTCCCCTAATTCATCAAGTAAACAAACTTTATTTTGGAATCAACGTCCAAACGAGTAACCTAGCTTTCACTATATGTTACCAATCTACTGACTCTGATCCCATTAACCACATCAAGTTGGGAACTAGTCACTGAATGCTAGTAAGTTCAACACAATCAAAGGCAATAAATAAAATCACCATACGAGCAATCATACAGTTAATCAATAATTGAAACTAGCAGGAATATATACAGGCCACCTTTTATAATGTAGATGAGTAATTCACTCGAGGTATTGACCAGAGGCTGCAGGAGTGGACCTAAAACGAGACAAGGGCAAACTGTAACAACAGTTAGTCCATTCTTCTCTCCATACTCCAATGCTGTCTCTTCAGCAATTGTCTTGGCAGCACTGTACCAGTCCTGCAAGCAAAACTTGGTTGGCCCTACTTTAGTCCTCCCGGGTAGCATTAATTAGCATATATGAATTGATAATAAATTGCAAAATTGATGGGTACTTTTGTGTAATAAAGAAAGTGAATATAATATTACTAACCTCATTCTTAATGCATAAATTTTTGTCTGACCAGCGACTCTCATCTTTGATTCTATCTTGGGGTCAACTTGGATTAAAACGAACAGCAGCTGTGGATGAAACCACGATAGCTTTCTGAACATTGTTCGCCGAGCAAGCCTGAAGGACATTCAAAGTGCCTTTGACAGCAGGAGCCAATACCTCTGACTGCATGGTTTTTCGGTTTTTCTCAATATATGTTTAAGCAGTATAAAAGCTTTTATGCAACTACATTAGGCAATAAAATCTCAATAGGACAAATGCTTCTACATTAGGCAATAAATCTCAATAGGACAAATGCGAGAATCAGTGGTGTGTCATCCGAAGAGACTGGACCGAAACTTGCCTCGGGATCATGGACCTTGTCCGCGGGAACAGGGGAGGCGACGTGGAAGACCCCCTCGCACCCGGCGACCGCGGCCGCCAGGGCGTCGTGATCGAGCATGTCGGCAGTGAACAGGAGCAAGCTCTCCGGGGCCCCGTCCAGTACCTGCAGGTGAGCGTTCTTGGGATCACCTGAAACAGAGAGCCAGACGCCATGCAAGTCCCCATTTCCAACGCGTCGATCGATCAAAGACGAACAGCGCATGCGCAGGGGGTGCATGCTTACTTGGGTCGCGGACAGTGGCGTGCATGGCGTAGCCGCGGGAAAGGAGGAGCTTGACAAGCCATGAGGCGACATACCCGCCGCCCCAGGTAACGCACACGCGCGGCGGCGGCGGCGGCGACGCCATCCTGCTCCACTACAGGCAGTGGAGAAGCTAGAGCACTTATACTAGCATAATGTATAGAGGAGTTGACCGTAGCTCCACCAAACATAGCCTTAACCTTGATATGCAGTATTTACATGCTAAAGTTTAATTTTTCTAAGGTAATATACACGGTTTTGCAAAATTATATATAAACATAGAGACAGCTATGCAAAATCAATAAATATATACAATAGGCCGGGTTATCAAACTTGGACAAACATTCGGTATAGGAAATTAGTATCGATTATTTGCCACTTAATTCGATAACAATAGTAATTCAAATGACATATTACCATGGTCAACTAATTTTAAACCCTAAAGTCTTATTAAACCCTTTAGTTTCGATAAATCAAACTTATATAACTGCATCTCCATTAACTATCTAAAAAAATCAGAGCTCCTAATTATGAAATAATGAAAGATGAGCCTCATTCTTTTTATTCTTATATGTACTTGGCATCTAGCCTATCTATACCTCTATTGAAAAAAAATCTTCCCATAACAAATCTATACCCCTATCTATACCTTATTTTTGCAGTTGATAAGCCGGCTGATGCTATTTTGTTGTGAGAGAAAAATATTATACCATGGCTTATGAATTCAAGCGAACAGGGCGCTGATTATTTCTATTTCTACTACAGAAACAATTAGCAAGCAAGCAATAATTGCAAGTCTAGGTGTATTGTTTGGAAGAAATGCCATAAATACTTAAAGTATATATATAGAAACAAAGAGCAGTACTTAGCTTGTGCAACCAACAAATAAAATGAGAGGGTGCAGATCAACGAATAGTATATAATAATAATAAACTAATTATACAATGAATCATGGGCTTCTAGAGTTCTTGTCCTTGGCCTAAATACGTCAGACATGCAGGACTTGGGACCCATGCTCCAGGCATCGTCAGGTATATTGGCACTCATCATGGGTATATCGGTAAAGGAGGTCGTTTTAGGGGTGTTTGGGATCCCACGCGGCTTTTTAGCCAAACAGTCCCTCCGTATCGGAAAAAAAAGGAGGTCGTTTTAGGGTGTGGTGCAAAGTTTGTGGTACAAAAGGGTGTGGTGCTGTTTGTACAAATGAAGACGTTTTAGATCTCTTAACCTTGTTTTGGGGACGTGAATGCCCCCGCGCCGTCTGTTCGGTTCCGTGCGCCGCTTCACGAGGAGCAGTAAAGTCGCACCGCTTCACGATGTTGCCGTCCCCTCCCCTCCCTTGGTAAAGCCAGTGGAGTACTAGCTGTTCGCTCGCTTGCACAGGGTCTGGGAGCGGATGCACGTGCTCGACGGCCGCTTTCGGCTCCGCGGCGCTGGTGTCACCGGCGCTCTTCGGCAGCCATGCATGGAGGTGGCACCGGACTTCGTCGCGTCGGAGGAGATGGCGCCGCAGGACCTCGAGCAGGACTCAGTCATGTCGGACGCGATGGCGCCGTAGGACCTCGAGCATGACACCGCAGGTACTCAATCTCTCCACGACGCCGTAGTTTGTCGAGCTTTACTCCAGCGCGCAGCAGGACTTGTGCCAGACTCCTTGCCGCCGGAGTCCTCACTATACGTGTGCCTGAGCACGTTTTGAAGAAGCTGGACGAGCTCTGGAAGATTAAGTAAGATGCAAAGAAATAACAATAGATAATCGGAGTTCAGAGGGAAAAAATCGCGCCACGCACAGTGCCACACAGGCTGCAGCGATCTGCTCCGGCGAGCGGCAAGGGAAAAAAATCTACTACGTAAAAACGGTTTTGTAGGGGCGGGTGCTGACCGTCTGTAGGTCCGATTTGCACAGCCGCTCCTACGCAAGGGTCTTTATAAATTATGTATTTATAGAGGTGGTTCTCAGAGCGTCTTTACAAATCGATTTATAGGAACGGTTGGATATTGAGTCGCCCCTACAAATCAATTTTCAGAAATCACGAAAAAAAAGAAAAAAAATAGCAATTTTTTTTAATCTGAGGAGGGAACCCGCGACCTCTCCTTCGCGCACTATCTCCTCTACCACTACACCTCATGTTCGCTTGTGTCAACGATCCATTTTGGTTCTCCACCTATTATATAAAACAGAACATAAATGGATTGTTTGAGGCCCTAAGCTAATTCAAATAAAAAAATTATCAACTACAAAGTTTTATAACTTTTTGAGATTTACAATTTTTATTTTGATAGTTTCTCCATCCGAGGTCACTTATAAAATATGAATTTTAAATTTGAGAAATTCGAACGTAGTTTTTCATGACAAGATGATTTCAAATGAGAAAGTTATTAACTACAAAGTTTCATAACTTTTCAAGATCTACATTTTTTATTTTTACTGTTTATCTATCCGAGGTCGTTTAAAAAATTAAAATTTTAAATTTTTGGAAATTCAAACATAGTTTTCCTTAACAAAATGATTTTAAATCAAAAAATTGTCAACTACAAAGTTTCATAACTTTTCGAGATCTACAAGTTTCATTTTGGTTGTTTCTCTATTCGAAGTCGTTTATAAAATTTGAATTTTAATGCTTAATTTTTAATGGATATGTCTGCTTCTTGCTTTATTTTAGGAGCGCGTGACAACCAGCATACATAGGTATAAGGGCTAGCTGATGTGACAGGGGTGCATGCACCTGCACCATGCACCTGCCGCCTACAGGGCTGCACCTGGACTGGCCGGGTCAGACACACAGCGGCAGTACAGGCACCGTACTCGAGCGACGTATATAGCTTTCCCGATTTTTAATAACGGGCGTGTATTCGTAGGGAGCGGTTCCTACAAATTTATTTGCAGGGGCGATCGGATATAGAGTCGTTCCTATAAATCAGGTTGTTTATAGGAATTGCTGATAACATCGGCCGTATCTATAAATCTATTGGTAAAGGTGATTTATTTGGCAACTATTTATAAGGGCGGCTTAATATAGAGCCGCTCCTTAAAAAAAAAAAGAAGATGTTATCACAAATCGTTTTTTAAGTAGTGATCGCGCGACACAGCCCAAACGCGAGCTCCCAAACACAAGGCGCCATGCAAAATTAATGAGCTGTGCAAAATTACCACGCCTGAGAGGAATCGAACAGCGCACCTCCTGCCTCGGGCGCCCTGGAAGATGCAAAGAAAGATCAGTAAGGTTACATGTCTCATTCTTTCAACCTAAGGTGCATGCATCTCCTAACTTGCTTCTTCTAATTTGCTCCTAACTAACTTGCATCTTCTAATTGTTTGATGCAGGAAGACTAGCAATTGCTTCAGCTAGCAAGGACGCTTCACAGGAGATTTGCAATGACAGCCGATCTTCTTTCTCTAATTTTTCTTTTTGCATGTGAGGAATCTTGATCTTGTTGCATCCTTTAACCTTCATAGCTTCCTTCAAAACACTCTGAAGTGTTACAAAAATTCCGTTTGCTTTGGTGGACAATATTCTATGAATGCCTACGAAACATGTGTTGAAGAAATCAATCAATGAGTGGACAATATTAATATGAATGCCTACAAAACATGTGTGAACAATTGATCCATTTACCTATTGCACAGCTGGAACTAGATCTTGTATTGTTTTTTCATTCTTCTTGTATTGAATAGCTTGAATAGCTCGAAAAAACCCTAAGTCCAGAATGTTAAAATCTAGAGAATTGGGTGGTTGACAAATTAGGTGAATGTCAAACCCTTCTGGCTTAGGAGCCTCACAAAAAACAGGATCAATCTCACGTAAATGGGAAGGTGCATTATATTGTTGTATGAAAATTGGTTTGTTCACATCTTCTCTTGGCCATTTGGCTCGAATGGCAGGCAACACTCTGTTTATCATGAAATCTCTAATCACATCTCTTGTGATTGAAGTTATTGGTTTGATTACTTGTTCTCCAAGAAGACGATTCTGACTTCTTCTTACAACAGTTTCATAAGTGTCAAGTGGAAAACAACCAATTTTTTCATCAAAAATACACTCTCCGTTCCTAAACCTTGGCCGAGCACAAACACACAAACACATGTGCCTAGGGATGTAATTCTTGTTCTTACAAGTGTGATGTGGTTCATCTTCCTCGGGTAGCAAGTAATATTTCTCATATTTTTGAGAGAGGTAAAACCATTTTTCATCAATGAACACAAAGTAAAAAAATGCCTTAAATCTTGGATCACCAAGCAAACCCAGCTCAATCATGTCAACACACCACTTTAACCGAGATCTCTTGTTAGCATCTGTGAGGTATGGTTTGATGCTACTAGAGTGGCGCCTAAGAAAACCTTTTTTCAAATACCTTTGTATCCGTGATTTGCTCATGTTAAGTTTGCTACACACATCTTCTATGATCATTCTTTGCTTGAGAGGAATGTTGCGTAATTGTTCCAAATCAATAGGGACTGCATTACGGCCACATGTACCCTTCTTTTGACTAGCAACCACAACCGGAATGCTATGAGCAAGTTGGATTTTACCTCGCTTCCATAAGCGCTGAACTGACCGGATGTGTACTCCAAATTGATCAGCAACAAATCTTGTATCTTTCTTGCCTAGTTTCCTATTCTTGCTTCTAGCCAACAATGCCTGATACACTTGTCTTGTGACTTCTTCTGTCATGTCTTTCCTTCGATGGTTTACTTCAACGGGGTCAACAACAGCATGTTCTAGTAAAAGAAAAAAACAAGCACATTCAAAATAATAGCATTTTTTACCTAAAAAAATCTAATTGTATCAAAAAATTACCAGCGAGGTTTTGTACAAAATCAAAATCAACTGCACCATATTCGTCTAGTGGCAAGTTCAAATCCAATCATGTCAAAAAAGGAAACAATGATATGAGAAACGAAACTAATTTGCTCATATGCTGTGAGTATCAAATCAAATCATATGGAAAAGAAAGTAACAACAGACACATTACCATTGTCGTTGTGATCCACCAATATTGGCTCGTTGAGATTGAAGGCAAGATTGCCGTTGTCATCTTCTTCTATAGGAACGTTGAGATCAAAGCCAGGGAAAAAATCAGCCATTGCACCGTAGATGGAAAGAG